TTGTTGTAATTGCATCAGTTGGTGTGTGTGTGTGTGTGTGTGTGTGTGTGTGTGTGTGTGTGTGTGTGTGTGTGTGTGTACAGGAGGAGAAGTCAGGAGAGAAAGTGAGTGAAGCTAAAGCTATAAAACTGTACGGCCAGGTTCCACCTATAGAGAAGATGGATGCTTCTCTTTCCTCACTCACCAACTGCGAGTGAGTCTTGTTGTGATGCAATGGATTCTGTATTTATATGTTTCATATGTTCTACAATAAGGAAGCATTAGATATGGGCATTTTGTAACAATTTTCATACCTGCAAAGAATGAGACAAAGTCATGAAAGACTTTTATATGTTTCTGCATGTACTTTAAAGGCATGTGTTAAACAATGAGATGAGGAAAGCCTTGCTCTTTTATTACTAGGTGTTTAATTTTTTCACAACAGACACATTAGTGTCTTGACTAGACTGAACACATGCCATCTGATCCATCAAAAGGTTGGAAGTACTGAACAAACATTTTGGATTAGGTACACGTCGCCGGCGATAATGTGCTGCTTGAAACTTTCCACGCAAAAATATCCTGGTACTTTGTGCAATAGCATAACTGACTGGTGTAACAGAATAAATCCACATTTGTAAATTAGACCAAGTAAATCCAAATAACTCAATAGAAATCAGATGATGGTCTGATCAAATGATAGGTTCATCTTTCAGATGTCTGATATGTTATTGTGCTGTATGCTCCACAGGAAGCTGTCTCTGTCAACAAACTGCATTGAGAAAATAGCTGGTCTCAATGGCCTGAGTGAGTATTGACTGCATAAATGCATGGACTCTCACATAAGGATATAGAGATGTGTTGTAATGTGATTTATTGTGTCTTTCCAGAGAACCTGAGGATATTGTCACTAGGGAGAAATAATATAAAGGCTCTCACTGGGCTGGTAGGTTACGTATGAAACAGAAATCTTATTGACCTCATCTCACTCCTTCTGTGTTTTTTCTTTCTTTCTTGACACACACGCACACACACACACACACACACACACACACACACATCAGAGCATCATTATTATTAGTGGTTGAACAACTACACAACATAAAAAAATATGCTGTATTTATGGACACAATGACATCATCCAGTAGGTCGGTATTGTTGCAGCAATAGAAGCCATCTGGATGGAGGAAGAACTATATGAATATAATAAGAACATAATAAGCTATTGTTGAGCATAAAATACAGTACTTTAAAAGGTCAGCGCTATTCTTAGAAAGCATGCTGTCATTTGAATGTAGTTTCTCTCTAAGACAGAAGGCCATTTTATTACAAGAATGTACCACCAACATTTAACCTTAGTGTATGGAGTTAGAGAAAAATCTATATCTATAAACATCTATTGTAAACTGCTTGCTCTGTTTGTTTTATCCACTGCTCTTTAAAGCCATACGGTTTCAAGTTATTCCACCGGCGTACGTAGTTGTTAAAAATTCAGATAATACCAGTGATCACCATTGCTGTGTTTGTGCTATGCCTGTCATCTCAGAGTCCCTGGGTCAGAACTGTGCTATGAAGAAGCATTCACCTGCACTTGGTATCTTAGTTTTTTGATTCTACAACATGAGGTCTGCTAGAGATTTATTTGCTTTGGAAATGTACATATTTTTGTACATTATTGTATTTGCTTGCACTATGTTGTTTTTACTGTGTGATGGTACTACTAACACCTATTACCTTGCCATCTTTAATTTCAATCTAGTTAAGTATCTCTAGGATGCACTGGAACAAGCCTGATCCGTCCTTACACAGGTCCCCACCTCACAACCCAAAGGATCCAGCACCAGACACCACAGAACACCCTCAGAGCTCTGTATCAGCGCTCTGATAGGTCAGGACTGGTTTGGTGTAAGGAAGGAGGCTCTACACTATTCTGGGCAGGTGCCATTTTAAATATTGTGGCTGATCGGTGCATACTGGCATAGAAACATCAGTATGTGCAATAAGTTATCATAAAATGTCATGCATTTTATACCACATTCCTGCGTATCCTGTGTATAGGTGAACTGGAATAACAGTTAAAAACAGAATCAAATGTTCATTATTTAATCAAGGTTAAATGCCATACTAGTATTTTTCACAGGAGGGCAGCATTGCAATACTATATAAAAGGAGATCAACTATTGAAATGCATACGGGGTGACAAATATGGTCTCTATATACAGTCAGTGATGGACATTAGTAGCATGGACTCATCTGTCGGTATCTGATGGCTCATCCTGGTGAGGCTGTGACATGATTGAATTTTTTGCCTTTTTATTTCGACTGATTTCCAGGTCAAGCTTGTATATCAGTCAGATAAGTATTCTAGGTGGGGTACAAGTGGTGGATGCGAAGGCCTACTGATACTGTAGTATCTCCAGTAGTAGACACAAACGCACCCTGTCTGTTCTTTAATTGCAGTTAAGTCTTGATTTTCTAACTGGGTCAAGCTCTGTCAGTCCCACTGCGCAGGCGCAGTTTGTGGGCTGTCAGTGCCATAGCAACCAGAGCAGACATCCATCGTCAACATGGTGAGTGTTGGATTGGTTTCGGCGCATTTTCGTCGCTGTTTGGCATATTCTCGTTATCGTTTATGCGCTGGTAACGATAGCCACCTATGGGAACATGCAGGGGCTTCGTGTCTGAGGGGTTCAAACTGACGTTTCATGCAACACCGGCGTTAGCTGTGAGCTAACACTTTAATTAGCTAGTTAGCTCGTGAAATAACAGGCTAGCATCAACTAGGTCCTAAAAGTGTGCGGATGTCTGGTCGATGTAGATTTTCCTTGCGATGGGTTATATTGTGTTACATTGCAAGTAGTGTGTCTAGCAGCAAAACCCCTAAAATAGAGATTGTGATCAGATATTACCAAGATTGTGTATGTTCAAAGTGTCCAACTCACTAAACCTTGTGTCTTTGCGTTATGTTGTTGCTAGCTGGTCCAAAGTACCTCTCTGCCATTTTGTCATCAGAATATAACCAAGACTCTCCCTGTCTAATTGAATGTCATGTAATGTCTCCAGGCCAAAGCAATGACTGTGAAGGAAGCCCTGGCCAAGTGGGTGAGTGACAGACAGACAGACAGACAGACAGACAGGTGTAACACTGACAGGACACCATGCAGTACTGTGTGATACAGTTACAGCATTTGAGTTGCATTTTGTACCATAGTTGTTGTAATTGCATCAGTTGGTGTGTGTGTGTGTGTGTGTGTGTGTGTGTGTGTGTGT